TTATTTAAATAGTATCTCGCACGTACACGTTGAGACTTTTATTTTACGGTTCAGGCCTTCCGTACTTTGGCACAAAAAAAAAAAGAAGAAGAAACTCATCCCTACGAAACTTCAAGGAATTTGCCAACAATGAATATTAATATATTGCAATCAGAATTTCAACCGCAGCTACTTTGTCATTAGCACAACAGTATAATTCAGTTAAACATACTTGTTGCTTAATGTATATATTGCTACAAATGAGACATACGAACTGGCGTTAAATCTGGTAGGCGGAGTGTCCCTACCTCTTTGTAGATCCTACCTTTGAAGATAACTCAAAAGCTAAAATGTATGATTTTCTTTGTTTGTATCACTATATTCCTCATATTTCTGTAAGTGTTGTTTCTATTATCCCCCATCCTCCTTATGACGTATGAAGTTTATTAAATTGTTTATGATTGTTGAGTGTGACTAGAATTAAATAAAGTTATTACGGTGCTAACTTGTTGCACGTATTCTTCTCATTTTTAATATAATTTGGCCATTGTTTACTTATAGATTTTTTTCAAATCTTCATAATGGAAACAATGTTCTGATCCTTCCATATTTTGGCCTACTTGTATAATCATAGATATTTTTTTGCTATTAATTAAGTTAAATGTAATAGCAAAACGATGCCTCCCTTATTTGGTTTGCTTCTTATTTAAGAAATGTAATGTATCTTCTTAACTGCACAAAATGTAATCTTAAATTTGTTGGTTAAACGTCTAATCAATTAGATTTAAGGATAGATCTGCAAAGGTCACAAAGTAAACATATTTCTTACATAGAACTGAAACATTTTATAATTCGATTGAATGTGCAGTTACTGATATTTTGGAAACTGGCGAATCAGAAGAAGATAGACTTCAAAAAGACAATTATAATACTGTAATTTATAGAACATTGTACCTCATGGTTTAAATCAAAAATTCCCACAAAGTTCCATTGCTCTTACGTCAAGTAATAGTAATTGTTTTTCTGTGTGGATAATTTCTATAAGCTTACAATAAAAAAAGAAAATCAGAGTGAAAGGGAATAAAATCAATAAACACAAATAGGCTAAATTAAAACAAAATGATCAAAATATGAGCAACAACTTACATTTGGTTCAGTAGTTTGTTTTATAAACAGTTGTATTGTTTAAATTTACTTAAAATACGAGTTTGACTACCGTAATAACACCTTTAACTTTTCATTACATACATGATAAAGAATTATTGATAGATTTAATTAAAATTAGGTTGAATACGAATTATTTAGAAATTTTAAGGCATGTTAAGATAAGAAACAAGAAATCTTACTTTTACTGTTAACTTTAAGCATGAAGTATTCAATTATTTAAAAAATCCCTACTACAATAAACAGTTCTACTGAAAATGTATAATTACAGCCAACAGTTCGTTATAAAATGTATAATTACAGCCAACAGTTCGTTATAAAATGTATAATTACAGCCAACAGTTCGTTATAAAATGTATAATTACAGCCAACAGTTCGTTATAAAATGTATAATTACAGCCAACAGTTCGTTATAAAATGTATAATTACAGCCAACAGTTCGTTATAAAATGTATAATTACAGCCAACAGTTCGTTATAAGATGTGTAATCGGATAATCTTGATATTCTTTCTTGTTAGTGTAGTAGTAATGGTCATAATCATATTGTTACCAAACATATAGCCCTCAGTTGCTCAACGGTAAGTCTGAGGGCTTATAACGCTAAAAATGGGGTTTCGATACCCGCAGTGGGAAGGGTACTGGTAGCCTATTATGTAGCTTTGTGCTTGGCTACAAATAAAAATCACAAATTTAAATATCATTAAAGATAAAGTTTCCAGTAAAATACTAGAGAAAGGATCTAAACATAGAATACTACAAACTTAATAAGCAAGAACTTACAAAATCTGTTGAAAAAACCTACATGATTATATTGTATAATTTAATTACATTACTGTATACCCTAAAAATGGTTTTGTTTTACTTTTTAAAATGGTTTCTCATAAACTTTACTAATTTCAAACGTTTCAGATTGGTTTATCTTTTAATCCGTTTTTACTAAACAATTTAAGAAATTGTAAAGGCGTTTTCTTATAGTACCAACTGATAAAGCAGGATGTATGAGATATTATTGGGATTAAGACTGAAAACTTCGCTAACAACGAGAGTTCTCAACTAATGAAACAATAAGTTTTAATATTTATAAGTAAAAGTGTAAGAAAAGAATATTTAATTAACTATACTGATGGCCAGATTGATTATGAGTTTATTTCCAAGTACATAACTTACTCTGATTGAAAGTTGTTAATATTTAGCTGGTTTTTATGAAAAAAATGTTATTAATGAATTGACTTTATAAATTCCTTCCAATTAGTTAATAAACCTCGAGAAAATATTATTAATTCCATCTTAAAAATCCCTAGACATTTGGTCTTAAAACAAATTCATATTCAAAATTGCCTTTTGTATGTGCTATTCATAAATTGCATGACTATTCAACGAAATTCATATTTATTATTAGTTACACCGACAGCTAAGCAAACTTCAATTTTATTAAATAAAATACATAACAAATTATGATATAAAGTTAAAGAAAATGATAATAATAAGCACTCTACTTAGATTATAACTAATTATGAACTAACTTTTCATAACTTGCAAAGCCTAAGTTACAAAAGCTAATTAAAATTGTTGATTTTACAACTTTGTATACTAAAATTCCTTTAAGTGATCTTATTCGTATTTTAAGTATTTTTAATTGATAAATGTATTACCTCAATTCTCCGAGTGAAAAATAGAACTTTCACTTCTATACACATTAAATGTTTGATAAGTTTTGAGTTTACAGTAACTTCAATGTCTTCAAGAAGCAGGTTTGTAAGCAAGTTACGGGCATTCCAACGAGGGCTAATAATTATTCAACATTTATTTCTTTATTTTTATGAATATACCTTTGTGGAAAATACTTTTAACACTGATTTACGCGAATTAACATATAAATAAATACATTAATTATTAAATTAGCTTAAACTTTTCAAAAATAAAATTGCTTATAGTATGCTGATCCACAAATAGCGAACGTTTCCATTTCTACATTTGAAGCACATCTACCTTTGGATGTTACAATTTGTAATGGATTTTGCTCTTTGTTATATTTGGTAAAATAATCAAGTTTTATTTTCCACTTTATGGAGTTCCTTCCCCTTTTAGTAATTTTTTTACGTCAAAATATCATCATATCACAATTTTTAAGGTTTTTTTGGAACTTACAATAAAGTTGTTGTTCATTGTTTGTGTTAGCGCAAAGTTGCCCAATGTGCACTGTGCTTGCCATGGAGGTCGAACCCAACATTTTAGTGTTACAAACCTAAAAGCTTACCAGTCAGCCCCCAGCGGACTTGCAATAAGGATAGTTATTTATATATAATGTTAAAATTTTAATTTAAAATTTAAAGTTGAATGGAATTCAACAATTTTTGGCACCTTACCTTAAAGTATTTCAACTTACTTCTTCATAAATACAAGCATATTTTAACTAAATTTCAGCATAAAACTTTCATAAAATTATAATTTAAACCATTTATAACAGTAATATAACTCCATCTTAGATCTTCTTCGGTTATTCTAATGTATTAAGGTCATTGTATGTTAATTCGACCCTCACAATTAATTAATTAACTTACATGTAATACTCCTGCTGATATGTAGTGTTTCCCTTAAGTATGACAAACATTTTAACCATGTTTGAAGCTTGAATGCCACCTATAGAGGATATATATACTTACTTTTCTCAACGGTCTGTTTTAATAACCCACTGGTTTAATTTCTTTCCTTTTTTTTATTTCTAAGTAGTTATCTTCCCGCAGTTGGCTTCAGAGAGTAAGAGGTACAATACGTGTGAGACTGTGGGCTAGAGTACTTACACCTGCTCTTTTTTTATTTTTCACAAGTGAAGCAGGTGAGGCATGCGAATTCAGGCTAAATCTGGTGGATGATGTACTCCTACTGCTTTGTAGTTTCTATGCCTGCAGATATCTCAAAAATCAAGATTCATAACAAATCCACTATAATTTCTATACTAGTGTTATTTTTGTTAGTGTTATTCTTGCTCTGGCTCATCTAAGGTTTGGAAGTACTGTTTTTACGCTTTCCTCCCTTATGATTTTAAGTATATTAAATTGTTTTATAGTTCTTATTCTGAATAATCACCAGAAAGAAATCAAGTATCCACGAAACACAGGTTCCGGAAAATGTTATGTAAAGTATTAAAATGAACTCGGGAGGAAAGAAAAATAAATGACACAAGTGAACAAATATTCACTATTTTTATTCACAACAGTATCTTATTGGTTGGCTTCTATAATCTGTTATATGACCTGTATGATTGCTGAGGTACAGAGAAAGCTTTCGAATCATTTCTACGTAGGGTAAAGACAGGATCAGGAAAAAAGATAAAGAATCATGTAGATACCCCAATTGTATATCAATTCGAAGTACTAGTGTGATATCCCACAATTCTTATAATGTACATAAGTAATAGTTCTCGAAGTAAAAATATTTAAAGTAGTGATTTAGTGCTCTTATAATTTTACTTTTTAGATAAATTTTTTTTAGAATATAAAACGTTAAAATCATTACTTTGAAGCAACTAACCAATATATTTCGTGAAATAGCAGCAGTGTTAGTATTACTATAAGATATGCATATCTGCTACTAAGTAATAATACTTACGACCATACTAAATATAAGATAATGTATTGATTTTTTGAAAAAAACAATGTAAAATTATAAGTATTAAATCAACTTAGAGGAACCATTTCCAGGTGTTTAGCTCATCATTTAAGCTTTTCCTCTTTATAAACTCCATTCATTTTGAAATGTTCATATTATATGAGTTTCTGTTGCTACGAGTAAGGGCATGTCTATGGTCATATGAAATAAGAATAAGTTACCTGATAGTAGTATTTTATTTCTATAGTTGCCAAGGCAACGATCCCAGAAGGCCCAAGTATGTACGTGCAGAGTGGAAGTACCATCAATCTTACTTGCATCATCAGCGACAGCAGCGCCCCTCCCGTGTACGTTTTTTGGTATCACAACGGTCGGATGATCAACTATGATTCTGTAAGGGGCGTACAAGTTAAGACAGAGACTGGACCAACCACTGTTAGCAGACTAAAGATCGAAAACGTCAAGACCACCGACTCAGGTGATTACAGCTGCACCCCTTCATATGCTGACCCTGCAAATATCACAGTCCACGTGATCAATGGTGAGATATTAAATCCTCTTAGTTTCATATATTAATTATATTGCTGTCCACGTGATTGATCATGGGAAACTTACCCTTTATTCTCGTGTATGTGTTTAGCAGCTGGCAAAGATCTGAAAGGCCCTGGAACAAGATGTTTCAAATAAGCTCTTTTTCCATAATCACATACACTCAAAAATGTCCTAATAGCACTTATAAAACTTCTGTTGAGCTGCATTATAGGTTCACGCACTGATGTGTTGGTGTTTGCTCTATTGGTTCCGACACCAAAGAGAATAGAGGATTGAAAGTTTTAGAGGATTTGTTTTTAAGTTCTTCAGAACAACTGTAGTACTGATTACCTGAGACTTGGATTTACCAGCTTTCAAAGTAACGTTAGTATTAATTTCCCGGGCTTCAGACTTGTCAACATTCAGAACAACATCAGTACTGATCACCTGGGCTCTGGACTTATTAATCTTTGAAACAACATCAGTATTGGTTTCCTGGGCTTCGGTTTTACCAACCTCTGGAACAATATTAATACTGACTACTTGGACTTTGGACTTATCAACCTTCAGAACAACATCAGTACTGGTTACCCAGGCTTCAGACTTATCAATTTTTGGAATAACACTAGTACTGGTTACCTGGGCTTCGAACTTATCAAACTTTGTAAGAACATTATTGTTGGTTACCTAGGCTTTGACCTTATCAACCTTCGGAACAACGTTATTACTAGTTACCTGGTCTTCTGACTTATTAACCTTCGGAACAACGTTATTATTAGTTACCTGGTCTTCTGACTAACCAACCTTTGGAACAACGTTAGTACTCGTTACTAACCAGTAAATATTCAAAATGGAGATAAAAGGCATATTGGGTTAATATTATTTGTTGTCATTCTCAAAGTTTTTGTATATGATGTTTGAGTTGTCCTTTTCTCACCACGTGAAACTAAACCTACATATATAATTATTTGAAGTATATGAATTATTAATGCTATTAATGTATTCTTCTGGACGATTCATATCAAAAGATGGTTTTCTCTCTCTTCACCCAAATAGTAAATTTCTTCATGGAGCCCAGGATGTTGTTCGATTTACAAAACGTCACTGAATAACACAGGTTTCGGGAATCCCCCCCCCCCATCAGTAATCTTCTGTAAGAGAAAGCTGAAAAAACAAAACTAGGTTTCTTATTTTACCGTTACCATAAATGCATAATTTTAGATAGGCCTTCGGAATCCCGTATACACGCGGGCCATGTGATAATTCTTCCCCTCTCCCTCACCTATTCGTAGGCCAACCTTATAACAGTCTAATTACTTTATAATGATAACTTTATATGCCATAGATTTATGTATGGATTCTCACATGCACTGATAACATTAAAGATAATTGACATAACCGGAATAGCTTGAAGAACGTATCACTGAGTTACATCTGAATTCTCTGTCTCTCATTGATCAGAAACAGAATTCAAAATTAAAGAGTGCACTTTGATGATAGACAACGCTTTTCCTTCTTATAGACTTTTTTTAGATCATTACCTTTTACTTCTAGTTACACACTTGTTCTAAACTAAGAGGACATAGCATCATATAAAAGATTCTGTTATGCCATCCCTTTCGGTAAGCATGTGCTATCTACATCATTGATATTCATTCTATTAGAAAAACAAGAGGGAATCCTCAATAGTCGCGGCACTTGAAATTATTTTAGAGAGGATTAGTGTAAATTAATCTATGAGACCTTTTTTTTTCCTTTTTATTAGTTATATTTTTGTGCGCCAGCAATACCAAGCGTGGGGCGCACGAATACCCTATTCGATTTTATTACTCATCACGATCTTTACCAGCCTACCCTCAAATTGAAATTCTTTTAGGCAAGATTAGAGTAAATTAATTTATGAGACCTTGGGCTTTGTCAAATACATCAATCGAAAGAGTTTGACCCCCTGAGTCTAAAACTGTAACTAGATCTCAAATCGGTCTAGAGATGACGGAGCTATGAGCTAAAAGTTTGTACTTCAAAAAACAAACAATCTCGGAACCAGTAAGCGATAACATGTCCTGTCACTGGAAAATATTACTGTACTCGTTTAAACAACGAGAATACGTAATAGCATCAAAGGGAATGACCCAGAACAATGGGTAGCAAGGGCAAAAGGAATTTAACCACATCCTTTGGCCAACTGTACACATCTGGAAACGTATATGTACTAACAGTTTTGAAATTTCTACAAAGACATGAAACACTCATCTTCCTGCTCGAGAAAACAGGAAACACTAAATATGCCTTGCATCCATACATGAACAGTTTATGTAGGAATATTCCTGATAAATAATGACACTTTTACGTGTCGTTGTTTCATTTACGTTTTATGTACCGCCGAAAATATCGTTAGCAGTGAGGGTACCCTAGTGATGAAATAACGCATTCTCATCTTTATAAGTAAAAACGGAAGAAAGTATACTTAATTAATTATACTCTTTACCAGCTTGATACTTAATTTGGCTCCAAGGAGGTAGCTTCCTGTGATTGAAAGTTGATATTTAAAAAAGATCATTAGTGCTGGCATGATCTTATGCACGGCAATAAAAGATAAGAAGTTAATTTCGAAGCAAAGAGGTCATTGTTATGTATAGGGTGGGCCAATAGTGACTGTTTTATATAGAAGATAGTTTAATTTCCAATGTCTTATTCTAAAACAAATACTACTTAAATTGGTTTCAATTGTCTTCTTAGTATTTTTTGTAATACCAACTGTGTGTAACTTAAAATTACCATAAAGTAGAAACCATAATAAACAGAAGCTTATTTTATCCATGTAGCTTTGTGACCATCAAATACAACTGTTTCAGTTCAACTTTAATATACCACTGGGATCCTCATTGGCTTTTTAAACACATTTTTAAAAGCTATTTATTGTTTGTGGGTTCGGACGTTTTAAGTTGGCTAAAGGTTCCCAAATAGTTTGATTCACAAAAAATTAAACAAAAACACCATTAATATTGAACTAATTATTTCTATGGTCCCCTGCATAATTTACACAAAAAATGGGTGATTATAGTCATTTAATTTAGTCAGAGCTTGACATTGATAGTTACAACAGGCGAAAACATAAAATTATTGAATATGATGCAATATGCGTATCCCACCGGTTGTGAATAATAAAAAACAAATCTGTAACTTAGGTGTTAATACCATAAAAATATAATTTAATCTTGTAGACATTTTCACTTAAATATAGTACACAAAGAACATTATTTCTGGGAAGACTGTTGAATATATATATATATATATATATATAACTACAGATATAAGCTTTAAGTATTTGGCGTGCTTGCACTGTGAATCCGGGTGTTCATGGTTTGTGTCCTGTTGCTGCAAAAACACGCTCCGCACTTTGGAGTAATCAGTGTCTTATGAGGGTGACTGTCAGATTCCATTATTCTGTCAGACAAGAGTATCCCAACAATTGACGATGGGTAATTTTGGCAAACTCTGTCGCTCTAGTCTATAAGCTAAAAATGAGGGATGCCTATACATAAATAGCTCTTTTGTAGCTTTACGCGAATATTTTAATCCAACAAACAACGATGGGACACTAAGCGTAAACGATTTCGAATAGTTAAAGTATAACAAGAATTACTTACTCGTTAATAATTAAACTTGGATGATCGTATAAACTACTGACATTGACAATTATTGACAAGAATTACTTACTCGTTAATAATTAAACTTGGATGATCGTATAAACTACTGACATTGACAATTATTGACAAGAATTACTTACTCGTTAATAATTAAACTTGGATGATCGTATAAACTACTGACATTGACAATTATTGACATGCGATCGTTACAACCTCATCTTAAAACATGCATAAAGGTACGACACGCAAAGCTATCGTTGTAAATGGCTGCTTCATGAAACTACGTTCCCTAAAGCTGTCATTATTTATCAAGTAGGCTACTATATGAAAATACGACACGTAAAGCTGTCATTATTTATAAAATAAACTGCTACGTAAGATATACATGAAGCTACGACACGTAAAGTTGTCATTAGTTATAAAATAAACTGCTACGTAAGATATACATGAAGCTACGACATGTAAAGTTGTCATTAGTTATAAAATAAACTGCTACGTAAGATATACATAAAACTACTACATAAAATATACATGAAGCTACGACACGTAAAGTTGTCATTAGTTATAAAATAAACTGCTACGTAAGATATACATAAAACTACCACATAAAATATACATGAATCTACGACACGTAAAGTTGTCAAACACTAATCACATTACAATGTATAGTTGAGAATTTTTACAACAGAAAGAACATATTAATGTGGTTTTGAAACAAAGAATTTTGTATTATTTGCGACACAAGGCCGTGATTAAAAATACTTCGGTACTGTTGGGAAACCGATGGTCTTAAACTCACAAATTTTTGTTCATGATATACTTATATGTTTGAAATTCCTTTTATAGCGAAAATAATTATCTTTTTATGACTCAAGCTCCTTTTAAAAACTAATATCGTTATATACGTGGTGATAATAATCCATTCAAGAGATTGTAATACGCTAATTATTCTATATGTATTGTTATCATCAATCTCAACTATACTGCGAGCCGAGCGTGGCTAGTAGTTAGCGTGTCCGTACTGTAAATACGAGGATTCTCCGTTCATGCCAATTGCCGCAAAATTCCATTCCACACTTCGGGACCATGTGCGCATTATTCGATCAGGCAGCAGTAGCTTAATACGTGGATGTCGCTAGGATGTTTTTTAAGAGGAGTTTGTTTTTGCTTGCGATACATCTTGTTTAGACACGTGTAGATGTATATACGTAAAACTGCACGTATTATGACGAAAACTCGATGAAGAACACGTTGTGTTGAATAATTATACATGCAGGTTTTAAAAGTAATAAATTGAAGTTCATGTGTGCCTTACAATTACACATATGTTATCCTTCTTTTTAATAACTGTTTTGCACCG